CACCACCTTTGACTCCACCACCGTCTGCTCAGCTGAAATGCACAAACTGCAATCTGCTACATGTGCTGCAAGGTGCTGAGAGCATTGTACTGACAGGGACAAGCAACATTTCCCATCATGCTTAGTGCTGGACTGAGTAGTTTATTAAGTTTGCTGTTTTATTTTCCAAAATGTAAATGACTGTTTTTACATTTCATCACCACTCTATGATGTTTTCTTTGTGCCCTCACAATATATGATTTGACGACTGTCTTGCACCCGACATGAAATGTAAAAGATTGCAAGATTGCTTTTCAGATTGCATATGTGCTTGTTAATCAAAATTTGAGCCAGCTGTGGACAGCACTCTGTCTCATCTTGAGAACAATTGTATAATTTATATACTGTATCCTCTTTCTCAGGGACAGGAGACCATTCCAGGGTGTACCCCGCCTCTTGCCCAATGCCAGCTGGGATTGGCTCCACACCCCCCGTGACCCTGTACTCAGGATAAGCAGTTGACGATGAGTGAGTGATCCTCTTTCTGAGACTATAGAAAGGAAGGAAGGAGCATTTGACAGCGTGCCTCTCTAAGGATGTCGTCACTTTTAGACAGATATTTGGGCTTTTGGTATGGAGCCAAATATTTACAAAAATGCAAAAATTTCAAGTGAGAATATTAAATCTCTACATATTTTTTACCCATGTTGGCCAGTGGGTTGGTTGTTCGAACCCTTTGATCCAGTCTGACATAACTCAACAATTACAAGATGGATTGTCATTAAATTTTGTACATCAGTCTTTCCCACACATAGACTTAATGGCTGGCCAAGTATATTTGGCGACCCATTTTAGCATTTTGCAGAGAAACACAGATAGGGTTGTTACATTACAAAGCAACGGTGAACACACCAGTGCCATTCGTTGACACCATTCGTTGACTAAGTTAGCACGTTGGTTTAATTTTCATAGGCAACGTTGTTGACACGCCTTTTCCACATGCAGCGCGTAAACAAAATGATAGATGGAAAAATCCAGACTTTATAAAACTTGCTACTGAAATGGAAAAAGTCAACAGAGCCAACACATAGGCCGACATGGAGAGAGAGACAGAAAAGGGCGGGGCAGAGGTGTGTGCGTGTGTCATTGTGGGGAAAAGAGAACTGAAGGAAAAGGGAGCCGATGAAATTAGGTGAGATAAGCAATAAGCTCCTAGAAATAGAAAATATATATGTACACTTTCAACAGACCATACGGGGGTACTTCATAAAATACACTCATCATTTTAATCTATTGCATACCCTGTTGCCCTTTCTGTAAACTATGAACTTTGGATTCATAAATAGAAGAAACAAGGATAACAGAGTGTCAGCTTAATTTTTAAAAACCGCATCTTAACAGTAACTTTGCCACAACAACAAATCTGAAGGCAGCAGAGGATCTATGAATAAACAAAGCCATGCCAATTACACATCATATGATATGGAGTTGATATATCTGTTGGACTTGATATGTTTATGTTGAAGTGGCACCTTATTACTCTTTGGCCTGACTTGGTTAGTGTCACACACTAGGCTACTTATTCTCTGGGGTCTAATTTTGTTTGTTAGCAGAGTTGTCGCTCTCTTTCCACTCACTTTCCACTCACTTTCCCTCATCCAACTGTTTACCTCTGTGCTCCCTTTCAGCTTTACTCCTTACTTGAGTCGAGAAGTGACAGTCCCCATCCCATAAGGTTAAGTGCATCCTGACCTTTTGGTTTCACTGCTCAAGGCAGCCTAACATTATCTGAAGCCATCTCCTATCCATGTTGATCCGGAGTGACAGAACTACTTTTGGCCCCCTTTCTTTTTTAAGCATACAATTTGATGACATTTTAGCCTTTATTCAATAGTTCACAGTGGAGGGAGACACATGCAAGCTGATTTAAACCCACGATATAGCGATTGCGTGGCATTACCAACTCGACTGTCAGGATGCTTCTTCTGTGTCTTATTTTGGTACTCTGCAGATGCGAATTCCTTTATTATAATTTCTTTCAAGAATTACATTACAAGGAGATACACTGCATGTTAATGTTCACTCAATATGGGAATGAGTGTTACTACACACTAATTGTCACTGTTTAAACAGTTAGATAACAAAAATATCAACTTATTTAACCATTTTATTCTAGGGAATTATACAAAATGTGAGACATCAGCTGTCAATCAAACTGTGACTTTGTAATGTCACTGCCAAACTTCACAAATTGACATCTATGATTTACAGCCTAGTTTTATTTGTTTTCAACAATGTTGTTGGAGCTATTTCAACATCACCCACAATTTATTTTAAGTCTTTCCAATTGTGAGCTGCTCCTCAACAGCACACTAAAACATGTAGAGTTTACAGCAATGCTAGCAGATATGTGTGGCTCAGCAGTTCTTTGAGCTAAATGCTTATGTTGCCATGCGCGAGTGGTTCTTTAAATGGGGCCACTGCAGTAAGACTTGAATGTTGAGCAGACCTAAAGTTGCATGAATATTATTCATTTTGTGACGTAAACAAACAAAAGTGCTCTGATGCTACTAAGACTATTTTGCTAACATGATTATTTTGTTTATTTCAACTGCCCATATTGTTAACGACTGATAAAATATATATTTTTAAATATTTAAAAAACTATTATAAGATGTAATTTTAGTTTTTCAGATGAATGAACATTTTTTGGCTTCTGAAAATGACAGAAAAAGTTAAATCACTGGTTTAGCGTGTTAGCATTTGCTAATTAGCACAAATCAAGTACAGCTGAGACTGACTGTCATTAGTTGTCAAAGTACTTAACAAATTGAAATAATCATTAGATGTTAAGGGATCGCCAAAGTTACTGCAATTCATCCTGAGGAGGACGTAAATGTGTTTAGCAGATTTAATGGCAACCCATCGTAGTTGTGGAGATATTTCAGTCTGGACCAAAGCCATGGACGAACTGACCGACATTGTCATCCCTAGAGTCATCCTGCTAGCATGGCTAAAAGTCAACCAGTCAACATCTTATGAGAGTCGTACTCTTCGGTGAAGTTTATTTATTTTTTTTTTTTTACTCTTCGGTGTAGTGGGCAGGGGTTCAACCGCAGCTGTTTTGAAAATACAAACATATGAATTGCACATTCATAATAACTGTATTGTATGTGGCCAAGCTGGTCTTCAGTTCTATTTGCCTGTTTGTCTCATCCAGCATGATCACACTGAAAATATCTCAAAGACACTCCACTCCACCCTCAGACCAGTGGAGAAAGAGTGAGAGCACTGCAAGTTATGGTATCACAGAGATGAAAGAATGTATACACTCAGTTAAAACTTCCTGAAAACAATCTATTGGACAAACATGTGAAGGTTATCCAACTTTCACTGACGCCTGATTTGTTTTCACAGATTAAAGTCTCAGCTTTAAGATTTAGTTTGTACATTATTGATGAAAATCAGGGACATAAACAAAATATTTTTTTTCAGTTACTCCATAGATGCTTAATTCACCTGCAGCAAGTTGCAATTCAGGCCACAAATTTCCAACTCACCACCAATGAGGTCTCTTGTTGTTGTTTTCTCTGTCAAACAAAGGTCATGTATGGCATAATATCAAGGAGCTGTCTTTAAAGTTTCTATTTTATTTAGTTTTCTTTTACTTGTTCTGAAATATTCTACCTCAAACTGATTCATTTCTTAAAACCCATGCACCCATCACTTATGTCTTTCACCATCAAGTGTGTACATCATTTGATGGATTTTGCCCTTTGCCAGACACACACAAAAAGTTAATTGGGAAACACAACCACAGCTTTCATGTTACCATAATACCTTGTAGGATGGTATGTAGGATACAGTTTCTCATCTTTTCTGACAATGATTTCAGAAAGCGCTTTGAATTTGCATCCCTTGTGTTTTTTTCTGACAATCAAAATAAATTGTTAAGAAGGTAATTTGACTTTGAATGTCTCCTGGATTAAAAGTTGCTGTTTGTATCTGATGTACAATTCAATAAAGAAACTCAAGTTAAGCTGTTAAATTATTCATGCTGTTACTGCTGAATACACAAGACGCCTTAAAGGCAGCACCTGAAATAATAAACATCATGATTTCTTTTCAATGCGTTTAGGATATGTCTCTCATGTGTGAAACAAAGATTTTAGGACATTATTGTTGATTTTAAGTATACAATAACTGATCTAATAATTGCGTTTGTTTTGAAAAAGACATTAATTATTTGACTAGAAGACTTCTTTACTTTATGTTCATCACAGCTGTGTTGGATTGGAACAGTGGATTTGCTATTTGACTATTTTAAGTTTGTCATTTAACATATCCACTTAGCAGTGCTTCAATTATAAGCCACAACCCACTGCCACAATCAGGTTTCTCATATCATGAGTAGAAGCACAGCTGAACACTGAGATGTCAGCGTTGTGGCCAAATTGATATTAAATTACTGATAGATTATTCCCTGCCTTTTAAATGATAACTGCTCATACAAATGTTAGTTTTGAATGTTAAATACACATTGTGATGGTTACGTTTATCCAATCTTTTATGTCTTTATCAAATGATCAGTTTAATTTTACGGTCATCTTTGAGTTCCATCTCTCAAAGGGCATGATTGCATCCTGTGAGCCCAGTGTGGTCAGAAATGAGCATATAAACAGAGGAATAAAACTACAGACAGCAGTTTCATGACAACACTATTAAAGACACTCAAATTTGATTAGTGAATATGTTTTTCCTGCATGTACATATGATCTTATGGTAAAACAAGCATTTAGATTAAGAAAACAAAACATTCTGTTGCTAAAAATGAGTAATTCTCAAATTCAGTAGCTAGTACTCTGATCATTTGCCCTTACCTTGTCCTTTCTGCTCGAGCATAGCCATTCACAAAACTTTTGGAGGGGTTCATTTGTTGCTATGGCATTGGATGTTGCTTAAAATTCAAATTGAAAATTCTGTTTCCATTTCAGCCTCTGTAATGACGAGATGAGCCTCACTGAAGAAAAGCATGTATAAATGTCAAACACTTGACAATCCTTCCCTCTTCAAATACGCATATATTACGGTAAAGTAACTATCTTTATACGCACTCATACAGACACACACACACCACTTTCACATATAATAAAATATGGTGAAAGTTTTTCTGTATCTCTTGAGTTTGTAGTTTTTCTAAGTACTTTACTGTACCACAGAAACATTATATGGGAGTAGCATACAGTATGACACAGAGATTAAGACAACATATATTTCATGGCTTTTCATTTTTGCTGGATTAAACCCAGTCACTATGAGTTTGCTTGTTCCATACAGTTACACCAATCCTTTTTTTCTTCTGTCCAAGAAATAACAGCAGTGCCTCGTGACATGAAATAGACTTCAAATCCCTTTTCTTTATCTTTTAAAGATGAGTTCCACAATTCTTGGGGGTCAAGATTTGTCTCTTTTTTTTAGTGTGCATGCAAGTCTACATGAAGGGTATGCTGTAGGAATCCAAAGAGCTATAGCACAGAGTTGTCTGATGTAAAGAAAAAATAAAAATCACAATTAGCATGTTTTTACAAGATGGAACATTTAAGTGTGCGGTACTTTCATTATCATTATTTCATATCATTATTATCTTTTTTTGTTCATTGTCTTTTTCACTCCCTGTTTTCCAAGAGTTTTAATCCACTGTAAAGTTTTTCAGGAGCACCGTCTGAATTTAATGAGTTTTTGGAAAGCTTGTTTGAACTCATCGTTGAATACGGTGTAAATGACAGGATTGATGAGGGAGTTCAGGTATCCCAGCCAGGTGAATATATCAAAAAGCACTGGATCAAACCAGCACTCTTTACATATGGCCATGACGAGCGTGCCGACAAAGAATGGGAGCCAACAGACAATGAACGCGCCCAAGATGATGCCCAATGTCTTGGTCGCTTTCCTCTCCCGAGCTGCACACAGACGTTTCCTTTCCAGCACGCTGTCTGCCAGCTTCACTTTCACACTATTCATGAACAGAGGCGATCCTCCCCCTCCCCCTCCACCTCCTGCATTGCCAGAGTGTAGGTGTGCTTCCTGGTTGGAGGCAGAATTAAGAGAACAGAGAGAGGAGCCTGCAGAGGTCTGGATGAGCTGTGCTGTGGTGAAGCGTTTCCCCGAGGATGATGGCGTCTTAAAGATGCGGGAGCGGGCGGCAACATAGATCCGTCCATAGAGGATGATGAGAAGCACCGTGGGAACGTAGAAGGCGCCGAAGGTGGAGTATAGGGTGTAAGAGATCTGATCTGTATTCACCAAGCACTCTGTAAGCTCCTCGTGGGCTTTGGCCTGACGCCAGAAAAGTGGAGGCATGGAAATTGATATGGAGATCACCCACACCACCCCAACCATGATCCCTGCCCGGCGCATGGTGCGGCGTTTTGAGTACTCCAGCGCATCTGTGATGGCCCAGTAGCGGTCCAGTGCGATCACACACAGGTGCAAGATGGAGGCCGTGCAGAAGGTGATGTCAGACGACAGCCAGATGTCACAAACAATCTGCCCGAACGACCAGGTCTTGCTGACGGTGTATACGATGCTAATTGGCATGACTAAAATAGACACCAGCAGGTCTGTGACGGCGAGGGAGCCGATCAGGAAGTTGGCAGGTGTGTGGAGCTTCCTGGTCAGAAAGATGGTGGCGATGACGAAGGCGTTTGAAAGGACAGTAGCCAGCGTGACGAGAGCTAACAGTGCAGACAGGGAGATCTGGAGGCCAAGCAGCGTGGTCTCGCTCCAGGGTGGAGTTGTAGTGGTATCAGGAATCTCTGTGATGTTGCTGGTAAAGTTATCTAGTGAGATATTATCTAACTCCATCTCGCCTCTGCTCCTTTTAAACCTTCTTTTCTCTAAGGTTTAGACCAGCCTCATCACTGCTATCCAAAACTGCACATGGATCAGTTCAGGCATGGCACCGAGGACAGGCTGTACAGTGGCTTGGTCCTAGAAAAAAATCTCATTTCTCCTCATTTCCCATCCCTTCTGTTGCAGTGCAATATCAGCAAAAATTCCATAATTACTACTAAACTAATGCTCCTGTAATTGATGGCAGCTAATTTGTCCATTTCGCTTTACATTATTATATATTATTGATTTGCCTCACTGGTGTAGCTGCAGGAGAAATGATTGCTGATTTGTATTCAGCTCCTGTCAGACAGCCACTTCTTTTCTCTCTTCCCAGTGCTCTTATCTCATCTCCAACCAGCAGCCAGCCAGCCAGCACCCTCAGACCAAGCCTTCCTACCTATCAAATGCTTTAATGGGCTGCTCCTTTTCAATAAAGCTAAGCGGGGAGCTGCATGTAGGAAGACGATGTCGACAGATATACTTGTTGTCTCTCTCTTATCTATTCCCAAATCCACGTGAAGCCTTCTAAATTGAGGTTTGTACAGAACCTTGGCTGTGCCTTTTGTCTTTGATGATGCTGGAAAGCCACAACATTACAGTTTACATGATATGCATCAAACCAAGATGAGGAGAAATTCTAGTTATCCAGTCCGCTTGTAGGTAATTATGCAAAATCCATGTTGGTTTTGGCAGTTACGTTGAAATTTGCTCATTTTTGTGATCAGCAAAGCTTTTTTTTCAGGTCCCTAGTGTAAAATGCTTGTGTGTTAGCGTCTCCTCTACACAGCACTGTCTGCAAGATACACTTTCAGTTGCAGTGTCCATATGGCTGCGAAGGTTTTGTCGGACTTTCATGAAGCATCCTTTGCAGCATGTTCATCCTAGGTGAGACAAATGGGAGGAGAAAAAGAGAAGGAAGATTAGTTATATTCAACTTTACCATCATTCCCTCCCCCATAACGTACACATGCATACATAAACAAACCACCTACATGACAAGGTCTACGCGTACAGGGCAATCAATGCACAAATATAACCCCGTAAAATCAACCTCGACCTGTAAATGGAGCATTATGACATGATACACCAACTTAACACCCACACACTTCCAGCTATTGTTTTGATTTATTACATTTGTTGTAAGACTGACATTGAATTCTCTAGGCGAGGTGAATATAAACCATTTCTTTTCACACTATATGAATTAATCAGAAACAGTGGTGCTTTAGAAAGGCACCAATGTACATCAATTCTCAACATAAAAGCATCTAATTCTACTAATATTATTTCAAATTATTGTGGTATTATCAAGGTTCCCTAGAGCTTTGAGATGCTGACCATGTAAATGCAACATCCCTGGTCTGAAACTGGCTGGAGGCATTTGTTATTTTTGCCATTTCCTGTGTCTTTCTCCTTTCATTTCCTATTTCTTCTGACACAAAAAAATGTAATCTCCAAAAACATAAAACACTTTCAGAAAAATGTACAGTTGGTTCACACCTTTCCATCTCTGTCTGACTCCATCCTGATGTCATTTGGATTGACAGTAAGTATATATATTTAAAAAAGCCAAAAGGCCAATTTATTAAAAAAATTGTTTTGTCTAAAGCACACAAAGCTCATAAACAGTAACCTTATTTTTTCTCACTTAGACCCTAACCCTAACCCACAGAGACTTTTGGTCTTGTGACATTTAAACTCTGCTTGCTTCACATCACTGTTAATGTAATGGTCCTCAGAAATTGGAGCACAGTGGTACAAAGAGAAACTGACTATGTTGCCTCCAGGTAAGAGTAACGAGTAGGATGGTGAGCAGACTTACTTTCAAGTACAATAAAAGAGACAGGAACTGAAATGTGGAAATGTGGTATTATGTCCCAGTGGGGATGAGGACTTCAAATGACTGTTAATCATAACAGAAGGCATTTCCTCCCCCAAGCTTCTCATCTATATCTATGGTTTGCAATAATGTATTATTTAAGAGCAGCAGTGTGGATCCTGACCACTTATAATTCAGAGGAAATGGAAAAATGTACATTAAGTGTTTTCTTAGGACTCATACGTTATGACTGTTGTCGCAACATACAAACCTCTTGTCACTGTATCACAACCCACAGAGCAAATACTGCTGAAACTTCAAATATACACCTTAATGAACTTTGTGACAAATGGTAAATGCTTTACTAAAATGTAGTTTTTTGTAAATGTTATACACATGTGGATTGTAAAATGTTCTGCCTTACAACAGTCAAAGTGACTGAAGTGTTTACAAGACATCCATTTTGCATAATTATAAATAATAGGAAAGGATTAGGGATAGAAATATACAAAATTTGTTTATTGGAACAAGGTCTGTATAGCCCAATTGTTAATTATCTTCTTAGGAGTATTTTGTATTTCACACATCAATAAGCTATGAAGTGATGTTAGAAAATTAAGGAACAAAGCTGCAGAAAAACAAACAACGGTGTTCGGTACAGTAATTGCTAATGTTTGCCTTTTCAGAGTTAACACATCCTTCTGCCGGCACATTATGAGTGTCAAGACTGATTTCCGAGCGTGTGTTTGTCCCTGATACAACTCAAGTGTTGATTGGCAGTTGCGCTCTTGAGAGGGATTATTGTGCTTCGGCTGTGACAATAAATAGGCATATTAAATGGGAGATGAAAACAACCTTGTCTGTTAACTGCATGATCACATTCATTTACAGACTCTCAGGTGAGCAGTGAACATTTTTATGAACCAAAATCAATATTGATCAGTTTGGACCCCTGTGTGTTCTGTATGGGCAATGTTTGCACCCAGTAGGGATGATTTTGGAAAACAGTGCCGGTGGAATTTGTTTTCGGTACAGTATGTTTAAGCTCTACATCACGTGCATACAGACAACAACAAACAGACATTACACTTCACAACATGTAACAATACAAAATACAGTGGGTAAATGACCATGCGTAGTGTATGAGAAGGCAACTAAACTAAAGAGTTTAGTTTAGTTGCCTAAAGAGTTCAGAGTCCTGATGGCTATGGGGAAGAAGCTATTTGTGAAGCGTTTGGTCTTGGTGGAGATTGACCTGTAACGCCTCCCTGCGGGAAGGAGCTGGAAGACGTGGTGAGCAGGATGTGAGGGGTCGGAGATGATTTTCTTTGCTCGCTTTACAGTCCGATGTGTATAGAGGGAATCGACTGAGGGCAGTGGTTTTCCTATGATCTTGGATGCTTTGTTGACAGTCCGCTGTAGTTTTTTCTTTGTTTGGCTGTCCGTGATCGATGATGTAATAATGGACTCGATGATAGCGGAGTAGAACAGAACAAGGAGTTGATGCTTGATCCGGTATTTTTTAAGCTGCATGAGAAAGTAAAGTCTTTGTTGAGCTCTTGCAATGATGTATTCAGTGTTAGTTGTCCACTTCAGGTTATTGCTAATGTGTGTTCCTAGGAATTTAAAGGAGTCAGTGATGGTGATTGGGCTGCCGTTTATTTGTATGGGTGTTTTGGGAAATGGCCTACGTCTAAAGTCAAAAATGAGTCGCTGGGTTTTGGCTATGTTGACCCTGGAGGTCATTATTTGAACACCAAGTGACAGCTTGGTCCACCTCCATGCAATACTTGGTTTCATCATTGTCTGAGATGAGGCCTACAATGGTTGTGTCGTCCGCATACTTTAGAGAACACAGCCCTGAGGAGCTCCTGTACTGAGGGTGAGAGGGTGTGAAGTTATGTTATTAACTTTCACCCTCTGTGATCTATTTCACAGGAAGTTCCTTATCCAGTGGCATATGGCTGGGTCAATGTTCATGTCCAAGAGTGTAGAGAGTAAAGAGTTTAAATGGGATAATAGTGTTAAAGGTGGAACTAAAGTCTATGCACAAGATGTGTGTGTAGGTGTTTGGTGATTCCATGTGTTGCAGGGTATGATGGAGTGCTATGCTGATTGCATCCTAGGTAGGCAACCAAAAATGAGATGTCATTAGTTTTGCAGGTATTTGGTCACAAACCAAAGTACTGGACAAAATATAATTTTGACCTGATGATGGCTTTAGATGACAAGTTAAGGGATCACCAAAGTTATTATAATTCATCCTGAGGGGGATATGAATGTGTGTAGCCAATTTCAAGGCAATCCATCTTACTGTTGCTGACACATTTCACCCAAAACCACAAACGTCAACCTCACGGTGGTGCGAGTCGGAGGATCACCAACTACAGAAATGATCATGTGGGAAACATGATCTGTTTAGGTCCTATCGCAAATAAACTATATAAGGATAAAAAATATATTATATTGCTTGGTTGCCCAATACACTGCAAGGCCCAGAGTACTGCAGATTTTATAACAGCTAACAGGGAAATATATAAACCTTGGATAATCACTTGACATGCTCTTAACTTAATAATAAGATAGAAAATCATATATATAAGCATATGTTTTGCCTCTGCTTTGTCCTGCATCATGACATTCACGTCGACTACTGGCTGCCCTCCATCAAAGACAAACTTGGATATTATATTCATTCATTACACACAGACTGATATATTTCAAATGTTTATTTCATTTAATTGTGATGATTAAAACTGACAACTAATGAAAATCCTAAATTCAGTATCTCCGAAAATCTGAATATTACTTAAGACCAATACAAAAAAAAGGATTTTTAGTAATGTTGGTATGTATGTATGAACATGAAAAGTATGAGCATGTACAGCACTCAATACTTAGTTGGGGCTCCTTTTGCCTGAATTACTGCAGCAATGCGGCGTGGCATGGAGTCGATCAGTCTGTGGCACTGCTCAGGTGTTATGAGAGCCCAGGTTACTCTGATAGTGGCCTTCAGCTCTTCTGCATTGTTGGGTCTGGCGAATCGCATCTTCCTCTTCACAATACCCCATAGATTTTCTATAGGGTTAAGGTCAGGCGAGTTTGCCGGCCAATTAAGAACAGGGATACCCATGGTCCTTAAACCAGGTACTGGTAACTTTGTCACTGTGTGCAGGTGCCAAGTCCTGTTGGAAAATGAAATCTCCATCTCCATAAAGTTGTTCATCAGCAGGAAGCATGAAGTGCTCTAAAACTTCCTGGTAGACGGCTGCATTGACCTTGGACCTCAAAAAACACAGTGGACCAACACCAGCAGATGACATGGCTGAGTGATGGCCATCACTGACTGTGGAAACTTTACACTGGACTTGGATTCTGTGCCTCTCCTCTCTTCCTCCAGACTCTGGGACCTTGATTTCCAAAGGAAATGCAAAATTTACTTTCATCAGAGAACATAACTTTGGACCACTCAGCAGCAGTCCAGTTCATTTTGTCTTTAGCCCAGGCTAGACGCTCCAGCTGCAGTCCACTCTTTGTGAATCTCCCCCACATTTTTGAATGGGTTTTGTTTCACAATCCTCTCCAGGGTGGCGGTTATCCCTATTGCTTTTTCACTTTTTTCTACCACATCTTTTCCTTCCCTTCGCCTCGCTATTAATGTGCCTGGACACAGAGCTCTGTGAACAGCCAGCCTTTTTAGCAGTGACCTTTTGTGTCTTGCCCTCCTTGTGCAAGGTGCCAATGGTTGTCTTTTGGACAGCTGTCAAGTCAGCAGTCTTCCCCATGATTGTGACTACAGAACTAGACTGAGAGACCATTTAAAGGCCTTTGCAGGTGTTTTGAGTTAATTGGCTGATTAGAGTGTGGCACCAGGTGTCTTCAATATTGAACCTTTTCACAATATTCTAATTTTCTGAGATACTGATTTGGGGGTTTTCATTAGTTGTCAGTTATAATCATCAAAATTTAAAGGAATGAACACTTGAAATATATCAGTCTGAGTGGAATGAATGTATAAATTATACAAGTTTCACTTTTTGAATGGAATTACTGAAATAAATC